TGTGTGTGTGTGTGTGTGTGTGTGTGTGTGTGTGTGTGTGTTTGTACCCACATAACTTCAGATTTAATGCAGCCCTAATGGGGTGAAACATCATGATTTAAAAGGGGGGGAAAAGCGAGAAAAAGAAAGAGAGAAAGAGATAAAAAGAGAAAAAAAGATGGAGAAAAAGAGAAAGAGAGAGAAAAGGGGGGAAAGGAAGAGAGGAAGAGAGAGAAAGGGAGAGAGAGTGAAAAAAGAGAGTGAAAGAGAGAAAAACAGAGAGAAAGAAAAGATAGAGAGAGAAAGAGAGAGAGAAAGAAAGAGCGATAGAGAGAGGAAAAGAGATAAAAAAAGAGAAAGAGCGAGCGAGAGAGAGGAAAAGCGAAAAAAAAGAAAAGAGAGAGAAAGAGAGAGAGAGAGAGAGAAAGAGAGAAAGAGAGAGAGAAAGAGAGAGAGAAAGAAAGAGAGAAAGAGAAAGAGAGAGAGAGAGAGAAAGAGAGAGAGAGAGAGAAAGAAAGAGAGAGAGAGAAAGAGAGAAGAAAGAAAGAAAGAAAGAAAGAAAGAAAGAAAGAAAGAAAGAAAGAAAGAAAGAAAGAAAGAAAGAAAGAAAGAAAGAAAGAAAGAAAGAAAGAAAGAAAGAAAGAAAAGAAAGAAAATAAAACTTGTCCAAATAAAGATTAAAAAAAAAATAAAACACGAAAGGGACCCGGAGCCGAGGCAGGGCAGGATGCTGGCAGCGCGCTCGGCAGCTCCGCGGCCCGCGGATCGCAGCGGGCTCCCCGCGGAACCTGCGCGGCAGCGGGGCCGAGAGGGCTCCCCGAGCGCGGGGGATGTTTTAGCTGTCCTGCCCGAAACCCGACACCCCCAGCCCCGAAGAGCTTCCCTGACCTTGCTGTGTCAATCACGGCACCGAGCCGCCTGCTAGAGCCAGGCGGGCACTGCGCCAGCCCGAGGGAGAATAGGGAAGGGGGCGGGGGGAGGGAAAAAAAAATTAAACCCTAAACCAGCTGGGAACAGTTATCTCGCAAGCCCTGGCTCATCCTTGTAACACATCTCGCCTGCCCACCTCAATACGGAGCAACACATCTGCCGGCCGGCAGCAGCGCTCAGCATCTCTGGAAAGTCTTAGAGTGATGTTTCTATCTTTAGTTCAAAACGTCTTTTTAGTCTTAGATGTCTCTGTTTTGGAATTAAAGACAATCAGCTTTATACACTCTCCTGGAGGGGAGGAGGGAAGGGAATATTGAGAGGAGTCTATTAAACGGTTGGCAGCGATAGTCTGTGAGCTCTGTGTCAGTAAATGGGGGGAGAGGGGGGGCTGTTGCCAATTGTGTTTCCTGTCTGAGTGTCTCGTTCAATCCTGGGAGCAGCCGTAGCCGGGCGTCACCTCTGTCCCGGCGCGGGGTGCGGACCTCGCTCTGCCTGGTAGCAACAGCTCTTACAAAACTGCGAAATCAAACAAAATAATATGATTTTCACTGAAGGGAATGGTCCTGCTCTACGTGAGATCACATACTGAACCGCCTTCCGCTAGCCAAATTTAGCGAGGCAAACCTTGGGCCCTTCCCCGTCATACGGCCCATCATCCGCAGGGTGCGGGGCTGCTCTCGGGGGTCTCCCATGGCCGCAAAGGCTCCGCCGCTTCTGCTCCCAGAGCATCCCCGAGCCCCCGAACCCCTGCTCCGGCCCGGCGTGCACGGTCCCCGTCCCAGTCCGAGTCCGGTCCTGTCTCTCTGCACCCCGACCGCATCCTCTCCAAGGTTTCGAAACGAGACTCGGGGTGAGGGCCTTTACACCCGGCTTTTGGGGAGACAATCTGCAGCATCTTCGCTGCTGAGAGCGGCGAGGGCGAGTGCCGGGCGGCCCGTCCGGTTCCCGGAGCGCTCGGTGGTCAGCGCTGGGTCCGTCCGAGCCGGGCAGCAGCTGCAGCTCCGGCCTCCTCCGAGCCCGGGGACTCCACAGCCCGGCTGGAGCTGCAGCAGCTCCGGGAGCGGGGCTGGACCCCGGCCCCGGCCAGGGGTGCGTGGGGACAAGCGGCGCAAAGGACGGGCAGAGGAGCCACCGGCCAAGCAGCACGGCCGGACAGGGGGAGAAGAGGGGCTTGGGCAGGATGCACGCTCTGTCCCCCGCTGCTGACAGCAACAACTCCGCGCTCCGCGGCAAGCGGGGAGCGAGCCTGAGCTGACCCGCACAGCCCCCGCTGCCGGGGGAGCACCCCGCGGGTCGGCCGGTCCCGGGAGGAAAAAGAGGGAAAAAAGGAGTTTTCCCCTGGCATCAAGCAGCTCCTCTCCGTGGTGCCCCCGTATCGTGTCAGCCCTTCTCCGATCGGTGATGAAGGGCGAGAGATCAAAGTAGATACCTGCGGATAGCAAGGGGCGAGCGGAGGGAAGGGGCCCCCCCTCGCTGCTGGGCTCTGTCGGGGCAAGGGAGGGGTTCCCCCTGGCTGCTGGGCTCTCCCGAGGGTCCCGGCAGCGGGCACAGGCGGGTGATGCCCATCCCGGTACCCGCGGGGCTGTCCAGCCCCGGGGTCCCTGCGCTGCCCTCCGGGCAGAGCCTGCCCAGCCGCAGGCCGAGCGAGCGCCAGTGCGGGTGGGTTTTGTCCCCTCGCTGTGCCAAAGCCCCCTCGAGCCGCCTGTGCGGACACAGGAGCCGGCCCGACCCCCGGCCCCGAGCCCGCTCCTCGCAGCCCCCGCGGGCCGAGCCCGGCCGCTCCCGGTCCCACCGACCCGGGCTGTGCCCCGGTGCGGCTCGGTTGCGTTTTTCTTTTCTTTTAAAAGGAATAAATTAAAGGCAGGAGCGGTGCCGGGCCAGCAGAGCCTCGGCCGCCCGGGCCGTGCCGCGGGGCTGCCCCGCCGCTGACACCGTTCTGTGGTGGGAATCTGGAGGGCTTTTCTAAGGCCTGTTTTTCCTACTTTTTTTTCGTTGTTGTTGTTGTTCAATTAGCCCTAGTGATTTATTCAATGCATGCATGAGGGGACATTAATATGCGGTGGCAGTTCCCACAAACAATATTCCTCTCAGGCTTTCTGCAGCCATAGCATTTACTGGCAAGGGGGGAGGCTATACAGGGAAAGCCAGGCTCTCCCAGCCTTTTCCTCCGCAAACTCCTGTCCCCCCTTGGCAGGGCAGCAGGCTGCGAGCTTGTTCTCCGGGCCTGACTCATGTAGCCGGGGGGCTGGGACGGGCCACGGCCCCTTCCAAGCTCCCCCAGCTCAGGGGCTGGCCCAGCTGGCTCTGACAAGGCAGGGATGTCGATGGGATTTAAGAGGGGGGGTATTTTAAGTTGCTGCATTTGCTTTTAAATTATTTTTTTTTTCCACACTCTGTCCTTAACCTGTTTGTTCTTCAAAGGCGTTTTATGCCATCCCCGCAAAGAACAGCTCGATGCTGCTGGGACGAGCGGCAGGGCAGAGAGAACCTATTTTTCCTGGTTGTGTGATACCTTGGATTTTGTTTTTCGGAGGGATTTTAAGTTCAACACCGCTTTCATACTTTGAGAGCAGCAGCGTTCAGACACGCTGCGGCTCGGAGAGTCCCTTTCCCACACCCAGGCAAGGACTGGGGGCGATTTTTAACCTCCTCCTCCCTCAGTTTAGGGAGCTGTGTGGTTATTGCAGCGAGGGCAGCTGAGGGACGGCGGTGGAGCTGCGAGGCGCTGAGCGCGGGGGGTGGCGGGGAGAGACCTGTCCCCTTCTCCACATGCATCTAAGGAGCCTTCGGGGGGGAGGAAAAATAAAAAACAAACAACCCCAAAACGGAATAAATACAGTGTGCAGATGGAGAGAAGGGAAGTGAATGGGCAAATCCCAAGGGAGCTGGGGAGAGGACGGGCTTGTCCAAGTCCTCTCATTAGCTAATGAAAAAAAAATAAAATAAAAATTTTAAAATAAGAAGAAAAAAGAGAAAAAATTAGGGAAGAAAGTGATTGCTGTCAGGCTCCCCGCTGTCCCCTCCGGGGTGGCCGGGCCGGACGGTCCCGCTCCCGGCGGGGCAGCGCAGCTCCGGGCGGACCCCGCGGCGCAGCCGGGCCCGGTGCGGGGCTCCCGCGCTCCGCTCGCTCCGGAGGGGTTGGGGTGATGCTCCCCCTGCCAAGGGCGAGCTCAGACCCGAGCAGAGCAGGGGAAAGGGGGAAGGCTGAGCGCTCCTGCCCTGCGAGCAGCAGCGATCCCGAGAGCGCAAAGCACCCCCGCTCCCCTCCCCGGGCCGCAACCCCCCACAAACCCCCGCAATTGTGACCACCGGGGCCACAACTTTTCCTTTTTCTTTCTTTCTTTTTTTTGGGAACACGAGACGTCAGAGAAGCAGGTCCCTCCAAGAAATACCATTTCAATGATTTTAATAAGCAAAATAGGAAACAATTTTAATAACCAAAAACAGAAACCAGTCTGAATAAAACTACAATAGACCAGGTTTTTTAATATTTTTCATATCATAAGCAGGATTTGAAATTGATCCCTTCAGAACTTTACATGAAATAAAAACAATTTTTTTTCCGCTGCTGCAATGTTTTGATTTCAACACAGTTGAATCAGTAAAAACCAAAGATCGTTTTCTGATGCATGACTAATATCCACAATATTTAAAACTGCAAGCACCATGCTGTTCATTACAATCTTGTTATTACTGTTAATTTATAAACTAATACAAACTTAAAATGCATCCGGCCAGCAGTGCCAGCTATCCTAAAAGGAAACTAAAAAATAAGTTTTCATTTTGGTATTTTTGTCAGTGCAACGTAAATCCTTTTACTGACCTGCAGGAGGAAAAAAAAGTAATAAAAACACCCATAAGACTCCAAACTACTACTACTATACAACTGCAAATAAATTTTGGCTAAAAACTTTCACTCGCTGCATAGGGAAGCAGAGAAGCAGATTACAAATCATTGCAAAAGAGTACACTTAAAAGTTGCGGTATGTCTTCTTAAAAAAAAGTTTTAGATTTAAAAGCTTTCCCAGCCCACTCATCAGCTGCTGCCATTGAGAAACCCAACTTCAGTGGCGACACGGAGCCCTCGCTGCTCATAACGAGGAGGGTTTGGGGTTGTTTTCTCTCTTTATTCACCGAAAATCTAGGGGCAGTTGTTTTATTTTTTTGAAATGGAACTGGTATCTCGCCCGTCCTTCTCTTCCTGATTGTACAATCAGAAGGGAAATTATCTGGCCAAGCCTAAGCGCTCAGGCTGGGAATTGTCCTGGAGGAAAGAGCTTCGCTGCCACTTTAAGGCATGGAGTAGGTTCTAAGTGACCGAGGAGGGTTTTTCCCTCGTAAGTTTAGGTTTGTCAATGCCATTCAGGCGTTTTTGCTTCTGCCCCAACAAACAAAAACCAAAATGAAAACTAGCAAAAAAAAAAAAAAAATACAACTTAAAAGTGCACCAGATATACAAAGTTGGTTTTATTCCTAATGCAAAATGCCCATAACTTTTTTTTCTTTAAGTATCTCTTTAACACCAAACAAACCGTATAACCAGCCTGCTGAAATGTTATTTTGTTTTTTGTGTATTTTTCTCCTGTACGGTTTGAAGTAGCAGATATTTACAAGCTAACAACCATAAAAGAAAACAAGAGCAAAACCAACGAACAAAACTGCACAAGCAGTAAAAAGTTCGATAACTTGTGATGTTTTTCTTATTGATGAAACAAAACAACAACAGAAATCTATGATCGATGATCAACATGCTATAGTTAAACAAGAAAATGGTACAAAATAGAAATTATTACCATACATGTCCAGCATGCAGGATTAATATTTTTAATGCAGATTTTCGTATTTTTCTATATAATCAAGCAGGCAATAAAACTGATGAGTTTTTTTTCTTTCTTTCATTCTTTCTTTTCTTAGATTGAATGTCCCATCTGAGTCCTGTAACTTATTTCTCAAAGCAGGCAATATATGAAGAGTTTGCATATATTGTCCTTTTTATTTATTCTCTTTTTCCAAGCAGGTAAATTGTGCATGAGATGGTGCTGTATATGTCCTCTCTCTTTCCAAGCAGGCAGCATGTTATAGATGGCTTGTTCATTGTCCTTTTTTTATTATTATTCTTTTTAAAGTCCATCTCACTCTGCAAGCAAGTGATCTATAAAACGCTTCACTTGTCCTTTTCTCCTTTGCCTCTGTCTCTCTCTCTCTCTAACTCGCACACGAAAGTCAAAAAGTTGCACTTTACCTCTCCCATCCCCACCCCCAGCCTACTTTTCCCACAGCTACTCTAGAAGACTGGATGCTGAAAAAAAAAAAAAAAAAAAAAAATCAAGTCTCTATTTTTCTCTCCTCCTTTCTCTCTAGTCAAGCAGACGGATGGATGGAGATGTCAGAGGAGGATGGGAGCAGGGGGGGAAGGTGACAGGGGTCAGGTTTGGGGGGGTGGGGGGTTTTTGTTTGTTTTTTAATTATTTTTTGTTAAGCACTCACATGAAGAACTCAGGGGAAGACGGGTTGTCACTGGTGGAGCCGGCCTCTCTGAAGCCGTTGCTGGCAAGTTTCTCACACTTGAGCTTGTAGGCGTCTCTCTCTCTGGCGAGCCGGGTCACTTCTTGCTTGAGCTGTTCCACCTGCTGAATGAGCTGCGTCTTTTCGTTCTCCAGGTGGTGTTTCTGCTGGACACGTTTGTACCTGCAGGACTGGGCATAGCCCCTGTTCTTCAAGGTCCTCCTCTTCTGCTTGAGGCGGATCACCTCGTCTTTGGTGAAGCCTCGGAGGTGCCTGTTGAGCTCCCTCACGGACATTGAGACCAGCTGGTCATCCGAGAACCGGTCCTCCACGCTGCTGGAGGCGGGATGCTGCTGGTGCGAGTTCTGGAGCTGCTGGGAGGAGCTGGAGGAGGTGGAGGGAGTGGGAGAGGCCTGGTGGTGATGATGGTGGTGATGGTGAGGGTGCCCGCTGCCGGCCAGGTCTTCGTGAGTGACTGCGGGATACTGGTGGTGGTGTTGGTGATGGTGATGATGGTGGTGGTGGTGGGCCCGGAAGCCCTCGAAGCCCTGCAGCTGCTGGGACACCTGGTGGGACCCAATGAGGGCTTCGACAGCGTCCTCTGGGGTGAGGTTCAGCGCCTCGGGGTTCATCTGCTGGTAGCTGTTGGCCATCCAGTACAGGTCCTCCAAGTGGGTCTTCTGCTCGGTGGGGCTGAAGCTGGGCGAGGAGGGCACGGAGCTGCAGGGGGTGCTGATGGGGGTGGAGGACACGGAGCCGGCCGGCTGCAGGCGGGTGCAGTGCCTGCCCGAGCGGTCGCTCCTGCCCAGGGGCTCCTTCTTCACGTCGAACTTCATCAAGTCGAAGTCGTTCACGTACTCCATGGCCAGCGGGCTAGTGGGCAGCTCGGCTCCGATGCTGAGCTCTCCGGCCATCGCTGTCTTGCGGGCACCTCTCCCGGCGGAGGGGGCTGGAGGCTTCACCCCAGCGCGCAGTCTGGCAGAGGGGCCGGCCGCGCTCTCCTATTCCAAACCAACTTTGCCTTTCAGCTCTCGCTTCCTTTGCTCTGCTCCCCCTCCTCCGCCGCCTCCTTCTCCCGGGGCTTCTGCGGCTTCTTCAGTCCGGAGCAACAAAGCCAAGGACGAGCCGTGCCCCGGGGCCGCCTGGCTGGCTCCTGGCTGGCGGTGTCAGCGATCGCCTGGCACCGCGGGCTGCGGCAGCTCCCGGCTCCGAGGCGCCCGGCCGCAGGGAGAAAGCAGCGGTAGCAGGAAGGGCAAAAAGCAAAACAAAACAAAGATGCTGCCTTCGGCTCTGTGCAGGAAGAAGAAGGTCGGTGCGAACGCCGAGCCCGTGCCCCCGGCCGGGTTTTGTAAGTCCGGAGCCCCCTCCCCGCGGCAGCCGAGCCCGGAGCCTGCCGCAACTTTCCAGCCCGAGCGAGCGCCGGGGCAGCGCACGGGCTACCGGCGGCAGCGGGGCTCTGCACGGGAGTTTCGGTGGCTCTGGCAGCGCAGGCGAAGGGGAGGGAAAAAGGGGAGGAAGGAGGGGAAGGAGGAGGAAAAAAAAAAAAAAAAAAAAAAAAGGAGGAGAAGGGGGAGACGAGCACAGCCCAGGTCTCTGCTGTAGCTGCCGCCGCCAGCGCTCGTTGTGCAGCTGTGATCACAGTGCAGCCCCCCTTGGCTTCTTATACGGCCGTGCCCGCCGAGAGCGCGGCGGGGGCCGGGGCCGGCGGCGGCCGCGCCAATGGCAGCGCGGCGGCGGGGCCGGGCGGGGCCGGGCCGAGCCGTGACAGCTCCGCAGCGCCAGCTGAGCGCCCGCCGCTCCCAGCCCGCACCTCCGGGCTCTCCCCGGCTCCCCCTCCAGCACCCGCGCCTTCCCAGTTATTTATTTATTTAGCTGTTTATTTATTTATATATTTATTTCACTCTGCTCCCTTCCTCCCATCCTTTTCGGCCTCTGCAGCCCACAAAGGAGGGGGACTCGGGGACGCCGTGCCCGTCCCTTTGTTCTAAATATAACAAAGTGCCCCTTTTTGCCCGCTGCCATCCCGTAGTGGATCTCAAGGCAGGGAGCTTCCCCCCCGTGCCACGCACACGCTTCCACCCTTCCAACTTTATGTAAGCGGCCCCGGTGCGAACGCAGCGAGGGAAAAGCAGCCGCGATCGCGCAGCGGGTCCGGCCGGGAGCGGGTCCGGGGCTGCGGGAGGCGCCGAGGGGGATGAGCGGGGAGCCGGCAGCGAGGGAAGCACCGGCTCCATAGGGCTGTCAGCGCTCCGTGTACAACCGGGGAAACCCTCCCGGTTACAGGGAGCAAATCTCTCCCTAAAGTAAAGCGAAGGCATTGACACAGACAATCGCAAATATTAGGGAGAGAAGGGAGAAAATATAATTACATTTCGGTTCTGAGGGGACCGTGTTTGCTTTCCTCTGCTGTTCCCTGAGAGAGTGACTGCATGCAAAGGAGTATTCGGTTTGTGAGGTTTTTCGGTTTCTTTTTTCTTTTTTTTTTTTGGTCCGGTAACAGGATTTTTTTTTTTAACATTTTGTAACGATTAAGGGAGATTAGGGCTTCTTTTTACACGGCTCTCATGCTCAAACGGACAGAAAGTGCGACTCCAAGTGTCCATTTTCAGAATAACAGCGCATTTCAGCGGCAGAAAACAGCCGGGAAAAGGGGACGGGCGAGCGGGACCCGAGCGATGCGGGAGCGGCACCGCCTCGGTCCCGGCCCGGCCGCGCCGCTCCGGGGCTGCGCCTCCACCTCTGCCCCTCAAAACTCCCTGCACCACCCTCCCACCGCCCTATTTATTTAGCCAAAAGAACAAAAAAGTTCAGGATATGTCTGCTTTCCTGAAAATTATGAGGAGGGAACTGCTTTTCTGGAGCCGGGACAGCACTGAGGAGTCCCCAGGGAGATCTCCTGGTGTGGGTCGGTCCCTGTGGGTCCCCCCTGGTGCGGGACCCTCGCCAGCTCCGCGGCAATACCGCGGCCCGGACCCGCCGGTCCCGTTCCTCCGCATCTCCGCGGAGCCGGCCGCAGCCGCGTAGGGAACCGGGGAGGAAAAAGTCGCTCAAAGTCCTCCCTCTACCCAACAAGAAATTCCAGGTGGTCCCTCTGGCAGCCGGTTGGAGTAAAGAGGAGGAAAACAGGCAGGGAGGTTTCATTCAAATCCCTTTTAGCAGTTCAGGCGCGCCGGGGTTTGATTCCGTGCGGCAGTGCCTTGTGTGCGTGTTTCCCCACGGCATTTGGAGGGCACAGAACTCCGGCTCGGCAGTCCCGAGAGCGGCGGCTCCGGCGCTGCCCGCGCTGAGCGCTCCCTCCGCATCCCGATCCCACGGAAGCGGGGCCGCGCTCCCGGCAGCTCTCAGACCTATCCCCGCAGGTCGCGCTGCTCGCAGCGCGTGTGCGGGAGGACACGAGTGGAACGTCCCCACGGAGCCGGGGCGCTCCCCTTGCCGCGCATCCCCCGCGGGCAGCGCGGCCCCGGCGGTGCGGGGAGCGCTGAGCTCCGCGCGGCCACCGCCTGCCGCCTTCCCATCACTCTCACTTTGGGAAATCGCCGTCTTTCCGCTGTTAACGAGGGGCCCCGAGGCGCAGCGAGGCGGGGAACCCCTCTGCGGAGGGGTCCGGGCTGGGGGAGCGGCCAGCGGGGCAGGACGGACCGGGCAGGGAGATCGGCGCTCCCCGCGCGGCGGCTGAGCCTCCCCAGGGATTTGGGGCTGCCCAGAGTCCCCCGAGCGGGTCCGCTGGATTTGTGATTTCTGAGCTCCTGGAAGCTGCTTGGGGAGAGCTTTATTTTTTACCTGCACGTTAAATGTTATCGTTGGCACTGAGAGAAAGGGGACACTGGCGAGAGCTTGGGAAGCCTGGGTGCAGCCCTGCAAAATGTGCCATTAGATAGATAATACCTTTTCCTCTCATAATTACTGAGGTATATTCACAAGGTGGAGCTACTGAAAGGCGGAGGGAAGCATTTATCTCCCTGTCCATACATACTCTGCCCCTTTCCTTAATCTTTTAAGCCGCGAATTACAGATCGGTTTCCAGCGTCCGTCCTCACAGTCCTAAAATTTCGGGGCGCTCCCTGGGTCCGTTTCTTTGCTCTCCCATGCCTCGCTCCCCTTTCAAAAATACATCCCACAAAACTTGCGGCGTTAAGCGGCTGACTAAAGTCAGAACCGCTTCGTGCCCCGAATCCCCAGTTGTTCATCGTAGTTTTAATTTCAGCCACCAAAGGTTATTCTCGATAGGATTTATATGTTAGGGGCGTTGCTCCTATGTGTATTTAAAATTATATGTATATATATATTTTTTTAACAGGGATTGGGGAAGAAATAGCCTTGCTGGAGAAGGATTCCTGGGCTGAACAGCCCAACGAGGCAGCTCAGAAGTGTTTCCCACCCGTGTGGCCGCGGTGCTGCGCGCAGGGGGAGGGAGGGAGCTCCGCGCACCCCTAAAAGCCCCCGCGGGGCAAAGCGGCTGCTGCCGGATCCTCCGGGAAGGATTCCCCGTCTCCTCCGCACCCGCGCAGGGGGAAAAAGAGGCGCCCACCTGCCCGGCCCCTCAGCTCGCCTCCCCGCCCAGCATTCCGGGCAATTTTTTTTAAATTGCCACCTTCTTCCCGCATCCGAAAACCGCTTATCGAGCTGCTTTAATTTTTTTTTTTCCTGCTTTCTATATTTTAAGATCCGGTTTTTCAAGGTTCGTTTCGAGGAAAAAAATTACTTCTTCCCGCTCTCCCTTCACTTCCCCCTGCCTTCCGCAAACTCCCGGCCAGAATCGGGACGAGTTCAGAGAAAATTATTAATGTCATTTCTGATCAGCTCCGGCGGCACGTCCGTCCGGGGCAGGGCGGTAAGGGTCCTGGAGCCATTGAAATTTGAAATCTCCCCCTCAAAACTGCAACATACAGATACCTACCCGTGTATGTTCAGGTAGGGCTCTGCCTAAATCGGGACAGTGAAAGGAAATTAATTGTATTACGCTGGTATCCCAATCCCCGGTTCTTAGAAACAGCGAGTATAGGTACTCAGATGAAAATTAAGACGACTGTTGTGTATGTAATTTCCGTGCTCAGTTCTCTGAGAAACGCTCCTCTGTTTTGGTAGCTTACTGCTACTTTTGCCCCGTAATTGGCTTTTTTTATCCCGTAACATCAGCGGGATATGTTGACTGGAATGGGAGATTTGTTAAAAAACACAGACCCAAACCTAAATTATCCGTGGCTGGCAGCCGGCACTGATGGAGGGAAAGAGCATCACTTTCCTAATTCCTACCTCCCCTCGCTTGATTTTTAATTTCCCAAACCGCAGGCAGACACGGTGCTGGCTGTCAGGATTTTTTTCCCCTGTGTAAGCAGCGAGGGACCTGGTTAATCATCTATCGCATATACATGTGCATGAGAAAGAAAAGTGTTGATGTTTGCTTGTTGGGGCTGATGGGAATGGCCCACGAATTTAGGATTAAATTACTACTGGTAATCATAAGGCTTTGTTTCCCTCTCGCTCTCCCTTTTCTGCGGGGATTGTCAAAGTAAAGCGGGCAACATTATTTGGGCAAAGTCTGGTGAACGGCTTTGCTGTATAAAACAAGCGATTGAACCCTCCTGGGTGAGCTGGGACCTCTGCAGATTTTAGCCCGGTTCAGAGCGGGACAAATCCCAGTACTAACTCTAGACACGTTTGCACAGGTGGATCTGGGAGAAGGGAGCGGACCAACACTTCTGAAGGGTAGGTTTTTAGGGGGTAATTTTTCTTTCCCGAGGTTTTGCAGTGTCCAGCGCTAAATCCCCGCTGAGCAGCGATGCTCGGGGTGCGCGGGTGGCGGATTTGGGGTTCGCTGGATCTCGGGGGTCCTGAGCGCAGCTGGGCGGGATGGACAGGGGGGTTTGGGGTTATGAACGCCTCACGATGAAGGCAGCCATAAGCGGGGCTGTGTCACTGTGTCACTGCCCTGCGGGTCCCCCTGAGCCGTGCCCGGCCTGGCACACAAACACGAACACCCCAAAACGCGGCTCGGGCACTGATGCGGACGGAATCCTGATGGGGGATCCCGGTGGGCACCGCACCAGCGCTCCTTGGGGGATGCCCAGGCGAGGCTCCCGTCCCGGCGAGGTTCGGAGGATGCTGGAGCAGGGAAATGGGGATTATTTTCTTTTTGGAGGGGAGAGCGGCCCCACGGAGCCCCCCGCGGCTCGGGGTTAGCCCGGGACAGCGGCGCGGCCCGGGGGGAATGGAGGGGGGCGGCTGCTGCTGCTATTGCTGTGCCCGAGCTCTGCCTTCCTGCGCGGGGATAGAGGACAAACCCTGCGTGGCACCCTCTGCAGTTGGCTCAGGGTCTCGCTGCACTCCGGGGTTGGGGGGGGGGGGGGGGGGGGTGAGAAAGAGGGTGACTTTGAAACCAAATGGCATCATTTCACCCTCCCTGTTCGGCAGGGAGGCAAGCAGAGAGCAGAAACTTTCTGTTTCTCGTGATTTCTTTCAGACTTAGCTCTATCACACCGTGAATGCATCGGTCCAAACTCGTTTTCAAGAGAATTTATCTCTCATAATTTCCAAA